GGGGGGCACTAGCTGCGTCCTCCCCCCCCCCCAGCAGACCAGGGAGACACGGAGCAAAGTGGCGGAGGACCCGGGCCGGATCGCGGCGCTTCCAGATCGGGGACTGCCTGTATATAGTGTATAAAGAATGCTTATATTGTTTACATTGTTTATGCTCCTTTTGGCTACTTCCACATAGAGAAGGACTCAAACTGAATATGTGAGTCTAAATTCTTATGAATTTGCTTATAAAAGATAGACACCAATGGCAATGGCTTCAACCACATGAAATTCAAGGAGAAGCTGGAAACGACTTCCACAGAAAGCTTTGCCAACCTCAGGTCTGACATGCAACAATTTCTACTATAGTGAGGACCACCCTAGGCTAGTGAGTGGACCGCATGAGTGGCCTACCATCTCAGTGGGCTGCAATATTGTCATAACCAAGGCAATCTCCAGGGATAAGGTAGTTTTACTAACCACGCCTGTGTACCTAGAATGCGTGGTGTGTGCTGATTGAACCATAGCAGCGCTTTGATTGGATGCAGAGGGAATACATGGTCCCACAGTCAATGTTGTGCGTAATCAGCATGTACATAGTTCATGCATTCTTGCTTTATGTGCATGTCACTTTAGTAATACTGGTAGTGGAAAAGTTGCGTGGATAAATCCCAGCAGAATCTGGCAATGTTGTGCATGGGTAACAGGAAACAAAATGTCTCATGGACCACACATAGAACCCCAATGGGTCACAGGTTGCCCACCACTATTCTACTATATCTAGGAGTTAGGCTAAACAAACACTGCTGATATGCTGAACTGACATTGGTTTTGCGAGATGTACAAACAAGTACAAGACAACCATTCATTCTTGTGTCCTCAGTCAAGATTTTAACTTCAAATTTGGGGTCTGAATAGCTTTGTACTAACACACCAAACCAAATGAAGGTGCCTCCCACAATCATTTTTTCTGAGCCACATGTCACACAACTCACCAACACTGCAACCCTTCAACACAGCTCAATAGCCAGTAAAAGATGCCATCACTGAGTGGTACAATACACTCTTCCCTCACCCTTAGAAACCAGACCACTAAAAATCTCAGTCCAAGCAACCAAGACAGACTGCAATCAGGATAAGACACTAAACCAAACCAAAGTCTCCAGCGTGGCAATGTAAGTCAGTCAGTGTTGTCCAGCTCATTATTCTGTATTTATTAATTCAACAAAAACAACAATATTATCTCCCACTTTTTTTTCTTTTTGCGCTAAGAACATCCAAGATGGCACTCTGCACTTCAGTTGTGTGCTTTTATCAGTCAAGTCTCCTATTATAGGGATGTTTCTAAGGTGTCATCTCAATAATGCCTTGGTGTTATAGGATATTATTTATGTGAGAACAAATAAGCACATTATAATTTTGCTTTTGAAAACACACTTTTTTCATCACCTTTGGGCATGTTATAATAGCATACTATAGAATAAATGGCCTAACTTACCAATGGAGGCATCATGCCCTTGCTCGAAGGTGGGATGACGACACGAAGATCTGGTTTGCGATTGTTCATTCCAAGATTACCTCCTCCCGGCGGCGGTGGAGACTTTGTAGGCATAACTTTGCCTAATCCATTCCCACCACCAGTGGTTCCTAGCAGGCTTGGTGAAGCTCGAGAATTAATAAATCCATTTCCTAACATAGGAAATATAAAAGAATGCACCTTAAGGCTGAGCACAAGAAGTATAAATCAACACTGCAAATGTACAAACTCCACATTATTTTTAGACAAAAGTTTCAGTAACAAATATTTCACAGGAGTCTAAATGTTTTAGGAATAATTAAGCCACATCCTACAGTGTAGAACAGAAAAAGTAAAGTATCTTTCACCAAAAGATCAATATGTAACACTAGTGTCACCTCAGGGTGTGTTGTGGCAGCTTAAATGCTGAGGAGTGCATACTGTCAGGAAACTGTGCTAAGGCCATCTGTTCATTAATTTTATCCTTTGAAGTTCCTCTAGGCTGCTGCAACAAAGTAGTGTCTAACAAATGGTCCTTCACACAAACCACCCACACACCCCAAAGGCAGAACATGAATTACAGTGTAGTGTTGCCTATAAAAAGAAAAAAAAGCCTACAAAATCTTAAGATTCTTCTGTAAAAACAAACAAGTGTACCTTACACTGCATAAAAGACATGCTCAGTATCTCAATTAACAAGCCTTTAAATTGAAGCTCTACTTTTCTTCCAATTTGCTCTTCACCTTTGAAAATGCATTACATTAGCAAAGAACACTTTCTGGTAAGATGATATGAATCTGAAAAGGTACATTCATAAACTATTTCTCCAGTAAGGAAGATGTGGAGAAACTTAAGGAAATGGACATCCACCAGAGCCTCTTCCCACACATGTACCCACTCCAGTCACCAAAAGACTATTTACAGGTCATTGCCTATGAGGTACTGCCAGTTCTCACTGAGGTCAATGAGAATGGAGAATGATCAGTATCACAAAGGATTCAGATCCTAAGCTATATTCAAAGTTATCAGTGAAACACAGAATTCTGAGACAACTGCAATACAATTTCTAACAGTTTTCTTACAACATTCATCAACAACCAGCCAAGTGCCTATCAATGCTAACTGCAATATATTTTTCAGGGAACCTTTCTGAAGACTACACTCAAACAATTTTACCAAATTTATAGCAAGGGTTCCCTGAAAACACAGATTTTATTCAGCGATTACTGAAAAAAATATTAAGTTGAAAATTAGACCATTTTACAACAGGGAGTAAACTATGTGGTTCACACTACAGAACCAGTATATGTATAAATAAATACAATTTATAATAAAATTATGTTTATACTAACATTCCTGTTCTGAAAGTACTCTTTATAGTCACAATTCAGTAGCAAGTCTATTACCCAAAAGTTTACTGTGTGTGAAATTTTCTTTTAATAGCCTGTAGTACCTTACTGGCATGAATATTATACTATCAGCCTAATCTGAACAGACTCCTGTGCTCAATGGCATTTTATTCAAGTACATATTAATTTAAAGACATTTAAAATAAGAAAGTTCTCAGAGGGGTAGCTGTATTAGTATGTAACTTTAAAAAAAAAAACAAGTAGTCCTACAGCGCATATAGACTAACTGAACACACACACACACACACACACACACACACACACACACACACACACGGAGTCCCCTAGTTACGTGGATCCGACTTACGTCGGATCCCAACATACGAACGGAGCTTTTCTCGCCGTGGAGGACGGGGGCGGCGGGACTGCCCAGATGCGCGGCGGTCCCGCCGCCCGTGTCCTCCGTGGCGAGAAAAGCCCCGTTCGTATGTAGGGATCTGACGTAAGTCGATCCACGTAACTCGGGGACTGCCTGTATATGGTTGTGACTATTTTCTTCCACTATTTGATCTGAGGAAGTGGGTCTGGCCACCGAAAGCTCATCATCTAATAAACCATCTTGCTAGTCTTTAAAGTGCTACATAGTCCTGTATTTTGTTTTAAAAACAATGAATGAATGCAGCACCTTCGAGACTAACAAAAAATGTAGATGGTGGTATGAGCTTTCGTGGGCACAATCTTCTTGTTCAGATGAATGGAGTTTAAGGGGTCCAGG